CCCCCTTTTCCACAGAGTGACCGAGGCCCCAGCAGCTCATGGCCACTCCGCCTCTTCTCCATCGACGGATGGACAACCATCCACAGGACACCCAGGGCCCCTGAGTGTGTGTGTTAAGTCGGACCTCATTCTTACAAAGGTTGCAGATCAACGTCCGGACTTGCACTGGGGGACTGAGGCCCAGGGGGGCAGTGACTTCTCTCAAGCAGAGGCCTCTGTGGGCCCCAGGGAGCCGCGAGTCCAGCTCTCCAGTCTGGGTCTCGGGTTCTGGGGGAAACGCTCTGGGGAGATGCTGACCCACTAGGAGCCCGTGAGGCAGCCCGGATGGAGCCGGAGCTGGGGGCGGGGAGGGGCAGGTTCTGTCTGCTGCCGGGTCTGGGGGCCGCCAGCCGCTCCTTCTCCTCCTGTTTCCTAGGCGCCTGGGCCTGTGGCTCACTGACCCCATGTGTAAACCCCAGGCTTAAAGGGGTTGTCAGGGCTCAGAAACCACTTGCTACTGTGTCTTCTTTTTGGGAGGTTCCCTGTCCCCACTCTCCAGGGCAGCTCTGGGCTTCTTGTCCTTCATGCTCAACCAGGGGCCCCTGGAGAGGTGGCCTCAGGTTCACCCTCACTCGCTTGCTTGTGTTTGCTCTGGGCTCATGTCCCTCGTGTCTGCTCTGCTCCCATGACCGCCTCCCCTGTGGACTGCCCGACAGAAGGGATCTGGCAACTGTCAAAGTCTCCGACCCGCTCTCCACGGAGGCCCGGCTGCCCCCTCGGTTAATCCGTGATCCCTGGCAAATCTAAAGCCACCATGGAAACACCAACAGGGGCAGAACTCCCCACTTATGGCCACAGACCGACCGCCTCTCGCGCCCTGAGCCAACCAGGAAGGCATAACTGCCCGCTGTCTTTCTTCTTGTTATATTGATCTGAGCTCACATTTTTAGAGAGGTTGTAAGAATTATGCAAAAATGGAACACTCCCGTCCCCTTCACCCAGAATCTCCCATCAGTGACATTTGCCGCATACACTTCCTTCTAGATAGAGAGATAGATGGGTAGCTAGATGGGTAGCTAGATGGGTAGCTAGGTGGGTAGCTAGATGGGTAGGTAGATGGGTAGCTATGTGGGTAGCTAGATGGGTAGCTAGGTGATAGACAGACAGAGACAGAGGCAGAGAAGGAGACTTCATCTGGGGAGTACTGGAGACTAGGTTACAACACCACGCCCTGTGCTCCTACTGAGATAGTGCCTTTTGTAAGAACCAGGGCTTTTATGATGTAATCACAGTACAATTTTCAAAATCAGTCACTGGGTCAGCAGCTCAGGGCTATGGTTCAATTCGCAGCTCACATTCACATTTTGCCCATCGTCCCTTCAGGCCAGGTTCAAGCCCAGGGCCACACACATTCTTAGTTGTCATATCTCTTTAGTCTCCTTCAAACAGCCTTTGTCTTTCATGATCTTTTTTTCAAGAGTACAGGCAAATTATTAATTAGAATGTCGCTTAGTCTAATTTAATCCCTTAAATCATGTTTCCTCATCATTTCACTCAAGTTATGCATCTTCGCCCAGAATTCTACAGAAGTGATGTGCATTGGTTTCCTGTTGCCGTTGTAACAAACAATCACAGGTTTCCTGGGTCGCAGTGTGGGAGGTCGAAGTCTGCAGCAGGTCTCACTGGGTTACAGTCACAGTGTCCGCAGGGTCGCCTTCCTTCTGGAGCCCTTAGGGAGAACCCCCCTCCCTGCCTTTTAGAGGCGCCCACATTGCTTGGCTCGTGGCCCCTTCCTCATCTTCAAAGTCAGCTCTGCGGGATCTTTAAATCTCTCTCTGATTCTTCTGCCTCCCTCTCTCCTTATAACGTAGAAGTACAATTACATGGGGCACACCCAGATAAGCCAGAATAACCTCCCTGTTTTAAGATCTTTAACACAAACAACAGTGCGGTGATCGCCAGGGCAGGGGTGACCTGGAGGAGAGTATTGGGGAGATAAGTGGAGATGGATGGAGGCCTGACTGGGGGTGGTGAACACACAGCACCGTGTACAGATGATGTGCTGTAGAATTGTGCACCTGAACCTGTATAATTTTGTTGACCAATGTCATCCCAATACATTCATTTTTTTAAAAGATCCTTGATTTAATCACATCTGCAAAGATCTTTGACACGTAAGATAATGTATTCCCAGATTCTGAGTGTTAGGATGGGGACATCTTTGGAGGGTCATTTGGTCTTTCACGTGCATGTCCTCCTTAGGGGATCATATCTGGAGGCATGTGATTATTGGGGACACTATGACTTGGGTACTTGGTTATGGCTGTATTTGCAAGGTTAACCCACTGTAACCTATTTTTCACTTTTGTAATTAATAGTCAATGTGAGGGCGATACTCTGAAACTATGAACTGTTCCTGGTTCCCACCAGATTTGGCCTCTATTGATGATTATTGGCTAAATCAGTTTTTACTGAGAATCTTGCAAAGGGATTGTCCATTCTCTACAGTGATCACTTAGCATTTAACATAAGGGAGAGCTTTGGCCTCTCCTCCATTTATTTATTCCTTTATCTCATTTATGGCCTCATCGACTCTTATCTTATTTCATGAACATTCTGTTCTTTTTTTAAAATATATTTTATTGATTTTTTTATTGAGAGGAAGGGAGAGGGATAGAGAGTTAGAAACATTGATGAGAGAGAAACATCGATCAGCTGCCTCCTGCACACCCCCCACTGGAAATGTGCCCGCAACCAAGGTACATGCCCTTGACTGGAATCGAACCTGGGACCCTTGAGTCCGCACGCTGACGCTCTATCCACTGAGCCAAACCAGTTAGGGCTGAACATTCTGTTCTTAAAATGATGTGTTTTGGTGTCCACTCTGTCCCAGAGTTAGCCTTTGGACAAGTCCCCGTCATTCCTTCAACACTTTTTTCTGCCGTCCCATGTTCCAGGCTCACCTTGTGCTTGTCCTGCTCGGCCCGGCAATCAGTCATTCCCCCAGAGTCTTCCCCTGTTTGCGTGGAATGGTGTTTAGAAACCAAGGTCTTGGTGCTGGGTGTGCTCATTCCTTTTGGGCTTCTAGGCCCTGTCAGAGGACAGAGCTTCCAAATAAAACCAAAACACAGCTACATCTGTTTCTCTCTTTGTCTATCTACACCCGAGAGTTCAGGCTGATCTCTTCCAGTTCAGGGTTCCTTCTAGCCTCCTGTCTTTCCACATTCATAACGCGTTTCTCTGATGGTGAGACCCTAACTTCAGTTATTGTCAGTATATTTCCTGTGGCTCATTCCTACAAATCACAGAAAGGATGGTCGGGCTGCTATCCGATGCCACCGCAAAAAGTAGAGGTTAATATTTGCCGTCCTTTTGTTTATAGACTGAGGATATACAGGGTGGGTTGAGGAGGTTTATAGTTGTGAGTACGCCGAACAGTTTATTCTTGCCTTATTATTTATGAACTAGAGGCCCGATGCACGACATTCATTCACCGGTGGGTGTGTGTGTGTGGGGGGTGTCCCTCAACCTAGCCTGCGCCCTTTCGCAGTCCGGGAGCCCTCAGGGGATGTCCAACTGGCGGCTTAGGGGAGCGGGCCTAAGCCGCCAGTCGGACATCCTTAGTGCTGCCGCGGAGGCAGGCCGCTGTGCTCGCCAACCATCAGCCTGGCTTGTGGCTGAGCAGTGCTCCCCCTGTGGGAGTACACTGACCACCAGGGGGCAGCTCCTGCATTGAGCATCTTCCCCCTGGTGGTCAGTGCGCATCATAGCGACCGGTCATTCCGTTGTTCGGTCGATTTGCTTATTACCCTTTTATTATATAGGACTAGAGGGGGGGTTCCTCAGCCCGGCCTGTGCCCTCTCGCAGTCTGGGACCCCTCAGGGGATGACCACCTGCTGGCTTAGGCCCGCTCCCT